CCCTTCTCCCCCGCCCCCCCCCCCCACCCACCCACCCACCCATCTTTCACACACACACGCGCACGCACGCACGCGCACGCACACATACGCGCGATGTTTGATTATTCTTTCCCCCAGTGAATTTCTCATTCAATAAAGACAATCTTTTTGCTGAATTTGCTGAATTTGCTGGAATAAAACATAAAAGAGAAGTGGGAGGGAGGGAGGAGAGGGAACGCGCAGTGTTTTATGAGAGACTTACGAGAACTAGAAGTTCTACGTGTCCCGTGCAAATTTTCAAACTCCATTATTTCAAAAAAATAATAATAATAATAAAAATCTATAATAAAGCGACCATCGCGTAGCCCTGTATATCCCAAAAGATATGAAATTTAAAAGGAAAAAAGGGGAAAAAATGTGGAAAAACAAAATCCAAGTTCATTTTCATCATCCATAAGCGTTGCCAACAGCGTGTTATTTCACGGTTTAGTCCCCCTCTTGTCTCTTTCGACGCTAAATGAGCAACGAGGCGGTAGAGAGAAAAAAGGTAGGAGAAGAAGAAGCATGGAAAAAAAAAACAAAAAAAAAAAAAAATACAACAACGGAAAACACCGAGGATCATAAGAACGGGCTGATCTACATTTTCCCTTTATTACGGTTGAATGATCGGACTGCTAACTCGTTTCTAATTGACATTTTATTAACGCTCTCTTTCTACTCTCCGCTTTGTGCTTTGCACTGCGGGACCGCAGCCTTTTGTTATACTTTATCGCAGCGACAGCAGTCGACGATCACGTAATAATTCCGACGTAACCGCAACTGCACACTGACGTAATTCCTATTGTCAATGCTCTGTTACACGACGTAAGACCGAGTGCCTCTTATATGCTGCAGATTATCGGAGTATCGATTACACCGAGGCTGTCGCAGACATGTTCGAGCTTCGAATCCATACGTTTCCTTCTTTTCGCGACGACCTTACTTACATTTTGTCGCCCTTATCCCGTGCCTTACTTTAACGGCCCGAGACGCGCAGCCAGCCGCCTTTATTTATTTATATTTCAAGTATTGGCTACGACTTTACATTGATGCCCGCGACGTTCTTAATAGGGCCAAACGGAAAATCCTGCGTCCGCATTCTCCGCCAATAATGTGAAAAGTCTATATTTGTGCAATTGTCGTAGATAAAAATGAGGACTGGATGATATGATTTTATGAATTTAAAGTCCGATGTTTCGTGTGGTAAATTGATCCGTCAAATTCAATTAAAATTGAAATTAATTTATGGAAATTCTTTATTGTTTATGCAAAAAAAGATAATAGAAAAAAAAAAGAATATGAAAAAAAAAATTGTCATAAACTGTTACAAGGAATAATATTGACAATTAATATCGAAATTATTATTTAATTAAGATTGACAGAATTTTCATGAAATTCTTGCGACGAAGACTCATGGAAATCTATTTTCCATTGACTAACAAATGTGGGAACTGTAAGAATTATCTCTTAACGTTATTAAAAAAAAATAATAATAATAATAAATAAAAAAAATAAAAATTATTCACTTCAAATTTTGCTCTTCGATTTAATTTTCCCTTTTTGTGATTATAATAGCATAATATTCACTTCCAATGATATAATTGTGTGGATTTTATATTTTTCTTATTAATGTGAAAATACTGCTGATTCCGTGTAGGAAGCAAATGAATTATTAATTCACCGATTCTAGGCTCGATACTTTCATTCTCTATATTCATTGTAATTTTACATCAATAATTGAATTATCAACAACTTTCAATGAAGCGTTGAACGCTATTTGGATTTCAAAACGCCATTTAAACTTCGTTAATTCAAGAATAATTTTATACCCATCTAACGCATTTAATAACCACGCATTAATCAAATAAATTGTTGCTTACAAAGACATGAATAACGAACTGTGCTATTACGCGTAAATAAACAATAGTGAATAAATAATAATTGGTAATGTAAGCTTTGAGATTTCGTATGGTCCAACTACCGTCGAATGGACTTCATTTCATTTGATAGTTAAGCAAAACATTGAAATTAACTTTAAGTTTGAAATGGTTTGAAATTTAATCTAGCGTACTCTAAGTAACATCGCCTCTCTATTTTTCTTTAACAAATCCAAAACAAATCCCCCACGCATTTGCCAAGAAGTATTCTCTATATTTTGAACTTTCATCGACACGAAAATACAAGCTTACCACTCGATATTAAAATCGACTGACAATTAAAAAATTTACGCGTAACAAAGCAAGCCAAACCCCCGCCCCCGGCTCTTTTGCGCCCACGGAGGAACTTTCCTAGCAAAGTACGATCTCTGCCTCGCTCAATCTCTCTCTTTCTCTCTATCTTGTTCTCTATCATGCCGGGATCGTCCGAGTGTAACGCTCTCGTGAATTTCCAAGCTCAAACTTTACAGCTTATAACTGTGCAAATGAAGTTTCTGCAGGGGAATGCGTAGCACTTGACTCTATAGATATAGAGTCTGTGCGCTGGGGCGAGAGACTGAGAGTTCCCCGCTCTCGGTATAATCGATAAGGGCGGGGTCTCTCTGTCTACCCCTCTCTCTCTCTCTCTCTCTCTCTCTCTCTCTCTCTCT